TCTGGATCTGCTGTGGTGACAGCAAGTACCTTAGACGGCCCTGAATGAATAAGAATATCCCCTCTCACTAGCATAATACAAAGCCAAGAGTTAGAAAAAAAGTGTCTGAAACAAACCAATTAGAGCGTCCCAAAGCAGAAAATTAAAAAAAAAAAAAAAAAGCATTATAAGTTCACTTCAAGAGCCCACAGAAGATGAATGACTTTGCTTATTGCACCATCATGAGATTGCATCTTTGGGTTTTTGTGTCTTGAACTTGATCACATAGATACTGCCTCAACTAATGGAGTCTATCTATAATGTTTTTGATCAGGTGTCAGTGAGAATAAATCCTGATTAAATGCCTTTTAGTGTCACCATGGCATTTGACTAAAAATCTACTAACCAAATACGCTTCCATCAGCCTTAGCGTTCTTAGTTTTAAATGGCATACTTGCACTGTCAAGGTGAGCATGTTAGCATGTTGCTCTTGATAAACAGCCTCAGAGAGTTGCAAGCACGGCTGTAAACTCTTAGTACTATTTCTAAGATGCTATTTATCCACAGGATGAATGATAGGTCAGGGATCAACCCACTTTGCCTGAGCTGGGGAACACTTCTGTGGCACAGGATGTCAATAAACTTCCCCTCGTCAGTTCCCCACTTCTTCTCTCCTGCTTCATACAAGGCCTGCATGGATTCAGAAAAGGTATGAGTATAATATTGTTGGACTACACTAAAAAAAGAAAAAGTAAAAAAGAAAAACACACAGAGTCAAAGTTCAACGCAAGCACACTAGATTAACTGAATCCAACATGAGAAAATTTCAACATGCTTTCAACATAGGTGCAGGTTGAAACTTGCATCACCCAGCAAGGTGCGTTAGCTGAGATGAGCGATGCCACCAAACTCTGAATGAATTAACCTAAAAATGTGAAAGAGAAAGCTGCTATTTAAAATGTTTGTACTGCAGTAACACAAAAGTTACCTCAGTTTGAAAAGCAAGTGTTTATACACAAATGAACCAAACGTAAAAAAAGTGTACCTTAGCATCAGCTTTTGCTTTGGCAGCATCCACGCTGGTGGTCTCATCTCTCTTCCCCTGTGAGGGAGGACGGGTTTGTGAGGCGAAGAGAAAAAAAAGAAACTTTGAAATAGGCTATAATGATATCCTCACAATTCAATATTCTAAATAAACAATGTAACTTAAAAATGGCGCAACTCATTTAGCTCACACAGGACATTATTTGTATTTCCTGCATTTCTTCCTACAATCAGTATTTGGATATGAAGAAATCAAGGTGCTTTAAGAGTATATTTCTAAAACATAAACACTCACTACACACCTGCTGACTGCAGTAAATTTCAATGTGGTTGTGGTTCTTATTTGTTGGGAATGTTATGTCATCTGCTGAAATTTCATGTGCTATACCTCGGCCAAGATCAGCAGTGCTTTTCCATAATCTCCAGATACCTCCGACTGCAGGTCGTGAATCATCGCTCTTCCCGTTTCTCCAGTGAGACAGCGGAATACATGACAATTTCACAATACCGTAGTACATCACAAACAGCTGCCAACTCATTTATGATTTCAGTTTCATCAGATACATTTGAAACACTGTGTGTTAAAATGTCCTACTTGCTAGGTATGCTTCAGACAGTTCTCGGATCTGCTTGTTGGATCTCGAAGCAAATATTTCTGTCAGAGTGCTTTCTGTGGTCCCTGCACCCTGTATGCACAAGGATATACAAATGAATAAATAAATGATAATGTCAAAACAATACAGTTTAATACATCTGAAGATCAGGCTCTTATGAACCCGATGTTGACATGTGCTGTATAAATAAAAAAATATCATAGTGAACTGTTGTTTAAAGTCCAAACCATAAGTATAGCAAAATTAGATTAGATTAGCATTTATTGTCTACTTAGAAGAAATTTCCTTGGACAAGTGAGTGGAACATATCATGTAAGATAACACACACACACACACACACACACACACACACACAAATAAACACCAAACACTCATTTACAATTTCACCTACTACCAAACAATAATTTGACTGATAATGGCACTAGAGAAAACGTAAACCTTTTAAACTCACGGATTGGTACCCTGAACCTTTTTCCTGAGGGCATCTAGTCATCCTCATTATAAAGGATGTAATTTTTTCCTTAATTTTCAGACCCTGTTTTACACAGACTCTTCAAATATCTTCAGGAGGGTAGATGAAGAGAGCATCCCAGTTATCAGCCCTTTAAATCAAATGTTGAATTTGGGATCTGAGCTTGACTATTAGAGTCAATAGTTGTCCTATGGAAGAGCAACACAATATTTATCCACTCCATGGACACTAAGCCTTCTTAAAACACTGACTAATTTGTGCACACACATGCTCCACATGATGAAGCCGCTGTAACTGGCAATCAAAGTGAACCCCTTAAAAGTCGTCACTTGTTCAGCCTTTTCTCCACTAATTAAAACCGGGCTGTAATCTCCAATAGATCTTCTTTCTTTAATATTCTTTACATTTAGCATTAAGTTTAACATTATACTCAATCCAAACAAATCTTTAGTGAACAAATTATAGTGCACATCAAATTTAGAAATTATTTTTGTAACCTATTTCTTCAATCACTGAGTAAGTCACCTTTTAGAAAATTGTTTTAAAAACATGATTCAAATTATCTTAGTTTAACAAAGTCTTACCTTCATAGCTTTGATGACTTCCTGGCAGTCATAGAGAGCAGGAGGCGTTACCAAGGCTACTAACACGTCTTCAAAGTCTCCACGAGTGTCACCCTTCAGGTCATCTATTAATGTCTAATTGGGAGGAATAAAATCAAGTCCTGCACCAATAATGACAAACTCAATTTGGCCTTTGTCTGTGTCAACATCAAAGAAAGAAAAAGCTTGAAAATTAAACAGGCAAGTGTATTTATATACCCTTCCTGTGGCTTTCTCATAAGCCTTGGCGATGAGCTGACGCTGAGCACTGCTTCTTTGGGTCAACACATCAATCAGAGTCTTTTCTGTTGTACCTTTGAAGAAAACAACACCAAGCGAACTTTTAATTCTTCCAATTTTTAAAAAAAAAAAAGTGTAGAACTTTCATCAAATTGTCATTTTACTTCATGTCTATTATCAACCTCCTATTGTATGGTGAGAGTGAACTGAACTGGATCTCCTTCTTTCAGCTGCTCAAAGCAGATCATCTGCTTCCATCTCACCATGTCGCTAGCATCCTCCTCTCTCACACCAACTCTCTGTATGTCCTCCTTCAATTCATCTATGAACCTTCCTCTTTGCCTCCTTGCTGGGAGCTCCATCTTCAGCATCCTCTGCACATGTCCAAACCATCTCAGCCTTGCCTCTCTAACTTTGTCTCCAAACATCTCAAACTGAGCTGTCCGTCTGTTGTAATCATTTCTATTTTCTTAAGAGAGTCCATCCTGGTCACTCCCAAGAAAATCTGAGCATTTTCAGCTCTGACACTTCCAGCTCAGCCTCCTGTCTTTTGGACAGTGCCTCTGTCTCCAAACCATACAACATAGCAGGTCTCACTACCATCCTGTAAACCTCCCTTAGCACTCTTGCTGCTATTTGAACTGGATAACAGATAAAGATTTCCCTAATGGTTTATCCACTCCATTTTGAACTTGAATGTATGGCTACTTTTCTTTTAGATTAATAAAGTACCTGAGTGTATATGTGAATGAGTTCACCTTGCATTATACCTTTATACTGCAATAAAAAGGCACATGAGCACATTTGCCGAAGTGCTTTACATATCAGTCAGATATATATCTATAAAAATATATCAATGATGGTAAACCATTAGCTTACCAAGGCCCTCTATGGCCTTCCTGAGAGCAGACACATCTTCATCCACTTTGAAATTTGCCTTGTCCTTCACAGTTCCTCTTGCACTGGACTGATAGACACAGATGCATGCCAGTGAAAACTAATCCACAGGTAATAACTGTACCATGTATCATGCTATAAAAGAAGAGCAGGTTGTACTTACTGTCACAGTCAGTGAAGAGGGGTTGTCTAAGAGCAGGTCCAAGTCATCCTGAAACACAGAGAGGGTGACCGCCTTCATTTTCTCATATTTTGAGCCTACACGGATACAAACAGACATCTATGTAGAAGTACTTACCCAAACAGACATTCTGGTGGTTTAAGGGAGGCGTTTTACACTACAGAGAAGAAAGAAAATACACTATTAGCACCATAATTGTGTTGTAATGTAGCATCTTAAGAGCTGACTCATGCTTTAATGGATTTTTTTCCAGCTGCAGATCGCCATTCCATCTAATCAGGGCAGCGCTTTTAAGGGCATTGATGTGGCATCACAAACAAATCTGTAGGGTACAATAATACAAAACTAACTAAAGTCGAGACAACGTGCGCAAAAGGAACTACAGAAACGCAAACAAGTAAGATCCGAATGTAGACGAGGCATATCTAAAGAGCAAATTTCCTTTAAAAAAAACAACAACAACACGCACATCCAGGAAGCTGATAAAAGTTTTAAAATGTGTTCTTTTTCGTCTTACCAAGAAACAAGGAGAAGATTGAAGTCTGAGAACGAATTTCACAAACGCGTAAAAAGTCGCCACACCTTTCAAAGGGGTTGATAAGCAACGCCCACTGTGGGCTGGAGTACAGTGAATCACAGAGTACGTCTCTCATGAACTCCTCACTCCTGCAGAGTAAGAGTACAGCCGGTTACCACAGAAATAAAGCAAGAGAGATTACGACAGGCTGACGACTTTGCGCAACAGCCGAACTAACTGCATTTCTGAAATATTTTGGATTCCATTTAGTACCCATATAGAGCTTTTACTTCGATGGTAGTAATAGGTGTATTTAAACACCTATTATCTATAGGCAGTGATTTCCAGATCCTCTCTTTGATTTTATATCTATGTAAATTTCCCATAAGTATGATTAAAATATATGTCGTTACGTTTTCTAACAAGTATGTGTTGATTAGGTCTGTGTACTCGTTAAGCCCAAAGCAAATAAACGGATCAAATAGGGGGGATAGTAGAGTTAAAACAGTGAGAAAATATGAAGTACGACTTCTAAAGTAATGTCCATTTGAGTAAATATATTTAGTTACATTTTTTAATCCAATCTAACAAACTTTTTAGCAGGTCTAAAGTCCATGGCAGGGTAAAAACATGAGTCAGAGAGAAGGAGGAAGGAAATGTGACAGGATGAATATGTGCTTTGGCCTTATCGCATAATTTCCTAAGCAGCCTAATGAGATTACAGATGTTTATCTAGCCTACATCCTTAATATTCAATATTCTTTCAGCACAGCTAAAATTAAATTATGCACGCAAATGTATTTACCTAGTAAATATGAGGCACGCGAAACCATATGTTTTATTATTAAGCAAAACAGAGAGGAGCACGTGGGCTTAGTTCAGCCTAGCCCAAATTCAAAGATGCCCTGCCTGCCTCCTGAGGCGCACCAGGCGGGTTTATGCATCCACAATTGTCAGGAGAGTGTGCCACTATGAAAACGGGACTGCTGATTTAAGTGAGATTATATAGCAGCAACAGCTAATGCATGGAAACATCCTGTGGTCAGATGTCTATATGAATAAAAAATGCGTAAATTCCAGGTGATGTGTGGAAGTAGGCTGATAAGAAAAGGAAAGGAGACAGCTGCGACATCTTTCGGTAAACTGGAGACACTACAGACCTTATTAGGAAAGGGACCATGAAAAAAGCAGGCATTAGGCTGCATTTCCTGGATGGATCTTGGGTGCTTTGCTTTTTAAAAATATAATCTAGATTATATAATCTAGATTATATTTTCCACCATGAGCTCTAAGTAATTCCCGTGGAAATGTAAAATCTCATGATTTTTACTTACTTCCTTTTGCATGGTGCATCGATCTATTTTTCTGATAAGTGTGAATTTATATAAACGTAAATACATCAAAGTCTTTGGGACGTTACAAAAGGCCTCCTCGCTGACACCGCCTACCTTGTGAGGTTGCTGTTTCGCCCTAATTAAAGCCTTTAAGGAAGATTGCTGTTATAGCAATCTGACCTCTGTTACATGGTGAGTGAAACATAATCTTATTTTTATCCTTCTGAAATCTTAACTATAACCCGATGAACTAGAGGAAATAGAGGTGGGCGAAAGGAAAACAGATGCTCTACGTGGCACGAACTTATCCTGAGAGCTAAACTCGGGGAGAAATTTACCCACCATAGCCGGGTAGCGACTAAGCCTGTCAGCTCTCTGACAGCTCAGTACTATAGTGACACTTGGAGACGTGTCAGCGGCCCTTAAGAAAAGCTGTTTAGCACTCGTTTTCATTTAATACGGCGACTGGAGCATTCGTTCTTAATCCCAGAGTATGTTTTGGCCTGTTTCACTTTTATTTTTTAACGAGCGACCTCATTAGCTCACTAAATAGCTTTGCCGAACTAGCGGCTGGATAGCCGACTAGCAACAGGGAACCTCCCAGTAGTATCATGGCTAGCGAGAATTAGCCACTCCATTTCACTGTGACATCACTTTGGTAACGTCTTAATATTTATTTTATTTTTTCCAGACTACAGCCTTTAAAAAGAAGTGCACTACTAAACCTGTTCGGTCTTTCTGCGCTTAACCAGGGCTTCGTGCTTACTCTCGTTTTTCCTTTACAGGGAAGCTAACGTCACTTGCTGTCCCTTGTTTACATGAACACCGGTCATCTGGGGTGCTCTGAGGGCATGTGATGGTTGTAACAACACAGGATGAACTACAGAGAAACCGGGTTGTAAATACGGACATGGAACTTGGAGGTAGCTAACGTCGGCATCTCAGAGCCATTTCTCTGAGAAGATGACCTGGACTCTAAAGGAGGACAGCTGTGCCAGCTCCACTGTTTGACTTTGTGTGGGCGCTGGACGGAGAGCAGGAGCTTTGTTTGTCCCTGTTAAAAGTTTATCATGATGCAAAGCTACATGAGAACAACTGGAAACAAACAGTGCTGGGAATCGGGCTCTGCTTCTACCACAGGGATGATGTGGAAAACTCTCCTGGTCGTTAGTCTTTTCTGCTGGGGAAAATGTCAAGAGAGCCAGAATATGACACCCGAGGAAAAGGGCGCAATCAGGTGATGAATGTTCACATAGACATATAAACAGTGAGTGCGCTTTTGTAAAATTATTGAAAGCATTTAACTTTTGCGTCTTTACCCGTTTTGTTTTTCTTCTGTGCAGGGACCAGATTGTTGAAATGTTTGATCACGCTTATGGCAGTTACATGGTAAGGTGTTCGTTACAGCATAATAATTGTAATTACCAGTAAGTTTATGTTTGCTTTTTGCAAAAGTCCAGAGAAAAGACGAGTCAGTTGCTTCCAATTGGAAACGTGCATGCAAGCAAGCATGTTGGTTGAGGTTGCTGTTAGTAATGCTGGAGAGGGTCAGACTCACCTGTGCCTTTATAGGATAACCAGAGTTGGACAAAGAGGCACGCACGACCTAAAGTGTGTGTGGTAGAAGTAAAAAGTAGATGTCCTAACATAAATTAATCTAAGTGTATATTTAATATAGGTAGAGCAGCTAATGTTTAACTGATTATTGCATGTAAAAGGGCGATAAAGACGCAAAATTATCACTAGAAGGAGTTTAAACAAGTACATTCCTTAGTTAAACTGTCAAAGATTTCTTCAACTGAGTCCGCTAATAGTTTGAATATTTAGATGGAAAACTTAAGGGACATTGTTGAGTGAGAACTAACACTGTATGTGCCAGGTGAAGTGGGAGGTGTATAAGCTATTGATCTCCACCCATCCTTCCTCAATGAAACATTTTATGTGAAATGATAATGAAAGCATGGAGGCAAATGTTTGTTTCTGTTGTAGAAATATGCCTATCCAGCCGATGAGCTGATGCCTCTAAGCTGCAGAGGGAGAGTGCGTGGCCTGGAGCCCAACAGAGGGGACATAGATGACTCCTTGGGGAAGTAAGTAAATCGTTAATTGACATTTGGAGCATGAAAAGCGTATACATTTAAATTCCTTCAAGCAGCAGCCAGACCAAAGTATTGCAGCAAAGGTTTGAGTGTGAGCAGTTTAAGATTAGCAGATAAAAGATGACCTGATTTCCAAATGGCATAAAGTAAGAGATGAGATATTTTTGATATTTTGAGCAAGATTACTTCATCATCTCTTATCTGCTGAGGTTCTGAAAGGACAACAAGATAACAGAGAGGGGAAGGGGGGGGGGTTGTCTACCCTGCATGATAAGAACCCTGATAAATCTTCCTGACGGTCTTTTGCAGTCATAGAACAATTTTGATTCGGCTTTCTAGGAATCCTGTGAGTATTTTTTGCAGTAATTCTTTTGCTTTTCCGGACCACAACTTGACCATCACCATTCCTGTTGTTTGAGAAAAGAGCTTTGTGGAAACACTTTTACCCCCACTTTACAAATAAAATGAAAGTATTTATAAAATGTGTATCACCAATACTTTTCTAAAAATGACTCTGAACAGGATGTAGCTGTATCAAGCTACATGATATCTAGAAGTTATCTGACAGCTAAGATCTCTTTTGTAAACTTTCTTTCACTCCTAAAATCCACAGGGCAAAAGTGATACTCACCGTGCTTAAAATTCTATGAAAAGTATGTTTAATTTTCAATTTGAAGCCATTTAGAGATCATTTCATCTCCTGCTTGCTGAAGTAGTCACAGTAAGGAATTTTTGACAAGGGTGCAAAATGTTTTGCATGCCAAGTCTAATTTGTCTAATGCAGGGGTGTCCAACTCCAGGCCTCAAGGGTCGGTGTCCTGCAGGTTTTACATATCACCCTGGGTCAACATACCTGGTCTAATGCTTCTGAGAATGATTTTGCATCCTTAAAGAAGACAGGAACTATAGTCTTGCCCTGCTATTCTCTTCAAAAATACCCTAGTATTCAGAGATGCTGAATGAGCCGCTAGTTTAAGCAATAAAACCAACAGGAAGGCATTAAATCGGCATCTTGGAGTGCCATACACAGATCTATGTACAACACGTGTTTTATAATGTAACATTTAGCTTCAGACTCAGCATGAGTCATTACAAATTTAACTGAATCAGTGGAAAGTAGGACACCAGCTATGCTGCACTCTGCTAGCTATCGACATGTCATAATATTCGTTTCAACAATCTTTTTAGGTTTTCTCTCACTCTGATTGACACCCTTGACACCCTGGTGGTAAGTATTTGATTTTCCTCTCATAAAAAAAACAATATTGCTTTGCTTGTGTTTTTGAACAATTATTTCTTTCGCTCGCATGAATTTTAAACAGGTTTTAAACAAGCTTGATGAGTTTGAGGAGGCAGTGAAGAAGGCTGTGAGTGATGTACGCCTCGACAACGATGTGGTGGTGTCAGTGTTTGAGACCAATATCAGAGTTTTAGGGTATGAATCTTATGTATATATATAATATATTATACAGCCTTTGTTATTTTCCTTAGATTTGTATTAACGGCTTTATTTGAAGTGCTTTTTTTCTTGGCTCATTATTCCAATTGTAGTATTTTTTGACATCAGTACATCGTTTTATCGTCACTGGAAAGAAATATCCTGAGTATTTCTTCTTCCCAGTGGGCTTTTAGGGGGCCATGTGATGGCTGACCTCCTACGGCAACGTGGGGAGAGGATGCAATGGTATCGTGACGAGCTCCTACATATGGCCAAAGAGCTGGGCCATCGATTACTGCCTGCCTTTAACACCACAAGTGGCCTTCCCTATCCTAAGGTAGTGCTTATTTTATTGTTAAATATCACAAACCTTATTGCAGATTCATTATATGCTATCTAGTTCTTCAAAATTAGGCACTAATAAACGACAAACGTGTTCCTCATTTTGCACAGTAACTGATATAATTTTCGCTGTATTTGGCTCACCAGGTAAATCTGCGCTACGGTGTCCTAAACCCACTTTCCCGGACAGGCACCGAGTCCGACACCTGCACAGCATGTGCAGGAACAATGATCCTGGAATTCGCTGCCCTCAGCAGGCTGTCAGGAAACTCTGTGTTTGAGGTATTACCTTATTCTTCCTTCTTTTTTTCTTTTTTTTACTTTTTCATGTTAGGAATTATAGCTGAGTGTAGTTTTCACCTCAAAGAGTTTAAGCATGTAATACTTTTACAGGAACATGCAAGGAAAGCTCTGGATGTCCTCTGGGAGAGGCGACAGAGGGGAAGTGACTTGGTGGGGACTGTCATCAATATCCACAATGGAGAATGGGTCCGGAGGGGTGAGGCAGTTTAAACACAAAGATACACAAACATCAACAGCACTGGAATCATGCAGGTTCTCACACAAGCGGTGGAAATCGAGCCTTACTGAGTCTTGTGGCTTCTGTGTTTGCAGACAGTGGAGTTGGCGCTGGCATCGATTCATACTATGAATACCTGATGAAGGCGTACATTCTTCTGGGAGACAATGTCTTTCTGGACAGGTTCAACGTTGTAAGCATTCCTTGCTGTAACATCATTGTCTCACACAGTCTGTCATATTATAGTGTTTGAGCTGAAAACACTACAGTAATTATTTGTGTTTCTTGGTTTTCCCTCTACAGCACTACAGTGCCATTATGAAGTACATCAGTCAGCCTCCCCTGCTGCTCAATGTACACATGCACAACCCCACAGTGAGTGTGCGAAGCTGGATGGACTCTCTCCTGGCATTCTTCCCTGGCCTGCAGGTCTTAAGATGTGCTCAGTTAAGCATATTGACTCTTTTAATAGTGAAATAGTTTGTTGTTTATAGTTTCTAAAGTCCTGCTTTTGCTTATATAGGTTTTGCGAGGGGATCTGAAACCAGCCATTGAAACTCATGAAATGCTTTACCAAGTAACCAAACAGCACAAGTTTCTTCCAGAGGTAATGACTCAGTATTTGTATTTCTCTGTATCCCAGAACATTTCAGCAGTCAAGAAAAGTGGTACTAACCTCTTTTGTTTTTTGTTCATCTCACTGAAGGCTTTCACTACAGAGTTCAGAGTTCATTGGGGTCAACACCTACTGAGACCAGAGTTTGCAGAAAGCACCTACTACCTCTATAAGGTAACCCTGTATATTTAATCTCTGTCACTACTAGTGTCGCTGAGTAAATATATTGCATTTTCTTTGGTTGTAAAAGTTCAACTTTGTTAAAAGTTGGCAAATTTATACAAATATTTTATTCCTTTTAAGGATATGAAGAGCTTATCCTGTAGGACATGTAGGTAAGATTATATTTTGATGTGTGCAGGCCACTGGTGACCCCTACTACCTCAGAGTGGGACAATCCATAGTGGAAAAGCTCAATGCCTATGCCAGAGTGCCTTGCGGGTTTGCTGCTGTGCAAGATGTCCGCACAGGGACACATGAAGACAGGTACTGTGTGAGGCAAACTCTGTTCTGAACATTTAAAAACTGAAAAGTGTAACCTAAGTGTAACCTTAAGTATCAGAAACAGATGTGACCATTTTTTTTTCTCCTTCTGATTTTTTTTTCTTTCTTCTATATATGTGGGCTTTTCTGTGTTTAGGATGGACTCGTTCTTTCTGGCTGAGATGTTTAAATACCTGTACCTAATGTTTTCTGAGAAGAGTCACCTGCCAATTGATATGGACGGCTACATTTTCACTACAGAGGCTCACCTCCTGCCTATATCTCTCTCCACCACTCAGCCACCTTGTCCAGGAAACGATACGGTGAGAGCGCTCACTTTGTCACAAACACCAGTGCAAATGTTATCTTCCTCTATTTTCTATACAAGCTTGTGTATACCAACCACTCTGTTAGGTCCACCTGTCAAATTGCTTTTTAACATGGATATCTAATCAGGCAATCACATGTCAACAACTCAATTCATTAAAGCTGCGTCCACAAAGGGAAGTGCCCATTGGAAATGCTTTTGAAGCTGACAGCTGGTTGCTTGTGGATATTCCAGGCTCCAGTTGCCTACGTGACCTTCTTAATATCTTCACCACCGGGTACTCGTACTCTTGTCTATAGTCAACACGTACTGCTGAGAATCACTTCCAGGGTTGTATGCAGATTTAGTCACGTAGACCTGTTCTCGACTGTCTTCTTGAACTCAAATGGAGCAAGGTTGTACCCACCTTCTGATGGCTGCCTTCAGCAGGATAACACACCATGTCACAAAGTTCAGATCACCTGAAACTGGAATGAGTTCTCGGTTTTCAAAACTCCTCCGAAGTCACCAGATCTCAATCAAAAGCACCTCTGGGATGTGGTGGAACCAGAGATTTGCATCATTGATGTTGTTAAATCCTCCCAATTCTTTTGATCTTTGGGCTGAAGGAAGGACAATACTCGGTGTATAAATGCTCAATCAACAATCTTTTATTCCATACAATTCAACACTTTATGAGCATAAACCATCCGGAGGGGAGATGAGCGCGGGAGGGTGTCCGCCTGATCTCGAAGTGTCTGAGCGTTCCTCAGATTCTTATAGCTTCAGCCCCCCTCCACCTAGTCATAAAAGCTAAACATCCACATTCTTTCTCTCTCTCAGTGAGTCTAAGTTATGACCTTGGCTTCCTGTGCAGTGTGTTCTGTTCTTTTCTAATCAGACGAATAAGGCCATGACTCTCTGAAAACAGTATTTCTTATACCTCAGCAGTATAATGCATCAGAAAACAATATCATTCATTCACAATAGATCAGCAGCTTAATGTAATACAAATCAGTTTAATAACTGTAATAGTTATCACCTTCTTCTAAGTCAGGAGAATAATGCAAACTAAAACGACATAATAATTTCACAATCTTTAATTAGGGGTCTAACGTGGCATAAGATAATATAATAATCTCACAATGTGCAGACAACGGATCTGTTGTAATTGTGTGATACTATCATGTCAATTTGGCCCCAGATCTCTGAGAAAAGTTTCCAGCACCTAATTGAATGAGTGCCATGAAGAATTGAGGCAAAAAGGAGGTCAAAAACAGTGCTACCTGGTTTGTTTGTATGTCTCACATTAGCACTGTCAAATTTTTACTAAATCTGACAGTGCTAATACTGATATTGTGATAACAGAAATTTGAAGAAAATGAGGATGGCAGCATGCCACCAGTCCAATTTATCTCTAACTTTGTTTTGTTTTTTAGTACAAAGGTTTGGGTTTGTAATAGAGAAGGAAGGTGATCTTAATTTAGTGAATATTGTAATTATTGTAAGTCTCACTTACATGACAGTGCTGTATATTTAGAAGTTAACAGCAAAACTCACTGGCATAGTTGTATAGTAGGTACATACTTATTTAAAGGTGTGTCTTGTTCTTCAGGAGACTGTTCGAATTTCTCAAGAAGAAGATCTGTTTACACACTCCTGTCCCAGCACTGAGACGTTATTCCCAAACAACCCGTCATTTGCCAAAACCATCAGGGACGGCTACAAGTACCTCACTGGGGTGGGACGAGCTTTCCACCCTTTACCCATCAGGTGTGTCCAGCTGCAAGAGACTTTTGATTCCAGAGTAAATTCTCTGGTGGATTTGTGAAGTTGTTTACCTGACTGCCTTCATACTTTGCAGGGAAATTGAACTTCCACTCCACGATAATGGCATGGAGCCAGTGGAGTTCTTTAAAAGCATGGGCATTTCTCTCACTCCACTGAACGAAGCCAATATGGGAGACACTGGAAGGCTTAAGGTATACACTGATTATTTTGTACTCTAAATATGAACTGAAATGATGAGTTCAGGGTCAAAAATACGTCCGAAAATATACAATTACATGTAATTTTTTTTAATTCCACAGCCATTTTTTATACAATACTTCTTTTCAATATTTAATGCCATTGGTAAAACAAATTAAATTCAAATTGATTTAGTTTATTATTGTAAATGAATTAGTGCTCCAGCTGCAGTATTTTCATACTCCACCAGGAGGCACTGTCCAAACTCTGCGGCTCAACGAGTATATTTTCTTCCATTATAGTTATCTAGTTTGTTATACTTGTCTTATAACGGCCCACTCTTTTAAAGCAAAATCTGCCTGAGATTTAGTTTAAATGTGAAGTTATGTATTTTAATGGTCCAACCCACTGATTCCCAAAGTATGTGCCAGTTGTATAGGTACTGCAACCTAATTAAAAATGTTAATAGGAGGTGGTTAGGTTGTGTTATTACTCATTACACTGACCTAAATTTACTGCTCTTGTGTTGATGTTTGTGTACCAGTGGTAGTGGAGTCACACTCCTTAACACTTTGCATATGACTGGGTAGCATTAGCAATTTATAGCCAACAGTCTGTGTTGTTTGTGTGTGCGTGTGTTTTTTCTTTTTTTTTCTTAATGAAATGTTCAGGGAAATCCATCAGTTTGTCTTGTATTTTGATTAGAGTGAAGATTGGCTGGTGCCACATGGGTATTTGCAGCACTCTTGACTTTGGGAATGGCTGACCTGACCAGCTCTTGTTTTCAATTGGGTCTCTAAATAATGATGTCTGCAGGAGCATAAAGGAGTTTACCGGGTAAAACTTGTAGCAGAATTGAGCCAGGCACCAGAGGAGGAGGTTGTGGTGCCTCATGTCGTTCAGCTCATATCCCCACCATTTCTGGGAAGGACGGTCCTCACTGCAGGACCTGCCAAATTTGGGATGGACCTCACCAAGCAGGAGCATGGGGTGAGATAACACACCACATGGTATCGGTGTCAAAGCTAGTGTAGCTTTCAGGAACAAAGACAGAAACATGTGTTTCATTGCAACAATGTGTTTGAATAGATTACAATCTGAGATAATTGATATAATATGAACTACTAATTAAAATTAATAATTTATGTATGCATTTTTGTTCTCTTGGTCTTGTTTAGTTCTTTTCTCTAACGTGCAAAGACAAAATCACATTAAAACAAACTCTTGTGCTGCAGGTGAAGGGAAGCATAGTGAAAGCTTCCCCCTACACTGCGTGTGGACCCATAGACAATGCAGCGGGCCTAAAAGGCCACATCGCTCTGGCACTAAGAGGTGACTGCATGTTTGCTGCAAAGGCTCGTTGGCTACAGAAGGCAGGAGCCATAGGAGCTATTTTCATAGGTGAGAGTCATTACCAGTTGAGCTGAAATCATTTGCTCTTATAGTATTTCTCAAAGTTTAGAATGAGTGGACTTCAAAGATGTTCATGAGCTCAGCATACGCCTTTGTTCCTCAGACCACCGTGAAGGAAGCAACAGCGAGGAAACCCCTCTCTTCCAGATGGTTGGAGATGGCGACTCCACTGAAGACATCACCCTGCCTTTAGTCTTCCTGTTCAGCCGTGAGGGTGCCGTGCTCACAGCTGCCCTGGAGAAACATCACAATGTGGATGTGCTGCTGCTGCCCAAAGAGAGGCAGCTCGGACGTGGTGAGCATCAGGAGGAAGATTAGATTAGATATAATATGTTTATGGTATTGTCAGCAAATCCCATGAACAGTTAAAAAATGACATTATAGTTTGGTTGGTCTTTTTTTTTTTAATGCTGTCCAACTTTTTGAGTCTCTTGGATAATTTGGCACGAACCCTGTTCAAAGCTGGCTGGGAGCCGGTGACTATTTTTAGAATTCATGTGGTACCGGTGATAGGTCTCTAATATCCTGTGGGGGAGCCACAGTGGATAGATTTTGGCACAGATTTTACACCCGCTGCCCTCCCGTTTATCTAACACCAGGTATACACTAGCTTGTGACCCCCTAATAGGGTCTACAGAATCAAAGGAAAATATTATTCAGATTTTTAATGCTTGTTGGAAACAAAAAGGATGTAGACTCATCAGATTTATACTTAATCATATGTTTTATAGAAGTCACTGTAAAGGTTAGGAAGAAAATTAGATAGCATTGTTTTCAGAATTCATGCAGTGAAGAGTAGTAAAGATAATGCTGGGTGTATAATCTCTGTGATGTGACTCACCAATGTGTTAACAATAGACGGGAAAAAGTGTCTGCCTCACAGAAAATACTTACTATCATCTGTCACTTACCATTTTTATTGATTTTATATATTTAATGTTTGTTGAAAGGTGAAAAATATAGAATATCACCAGATATATACTTGATCAAATAGTGTCTAAAAGACACTGTAAAGGTTAGGAAGGCCTTTGTGCTTCTGTCCTTTAATAGATGTTTTAACTACACAGGATATGTTGTGCGTCATGGTTCCTCTGACATAATACAGAAATCAAACTTTATGTAGCATACAACAATGTATTTTCTTGTGGATTTGACATAGCTGTTGGTCCCAAATTGACCCAGAACATATAGCTATCATCATTTTATTATTGTTTTACTTGGTAGCAAAGTGCAGATTCACTATTTCAGTTGTTTTTAATTCAGGGTAATATAAAAATGGAATTGAAGTTGAGGACAAAATGAAATGATATGGAAAAACGTAGTTTGTGCTGCAGATGTGAGCTCTTCTCCTGTTTACGTGTGTCGTTGTCTGTCCTCGTACTACAGATAAAATGGAGAAACACGTCAGCATGAACCTAAAACTCCGCCTGGCAGAGGAGGGGGAGATGGAGGGGGGAGCAGCTAGCGGGCGCACCCTGGAGTTTGTCTTGGAGAATGACGAGGTGCTTCTTAAGGACGAGGGAGTAGAAGAACTGAGAGAAAAACAGCAGCAGTCATGCACAGAGGACAGTGACAGGACTCAACCCTCTCAAATCCCAGACTCTTAATGTCAGACCAAACACAAATCCATGAGCTGTGCTGATCCCGAACTTTGCTGCCACTGGTATCTTGTCAGGTTCTGGATGGAGTGTGCCTCAGAGCCCCTCACTGCCCTACAGCACAGGGAGCCCTCACTGACACAACTGGCATGTTTACGCCTGTCTTGAAGGGTCTATATTTACCTTTCAGTCAAAGATTTGTAGATTCTGCTCCATGTGGTACAGGAAATGGTGGTTGAGGTGTGGCTTCTGATCTCATGAGACTAAACTTAGTAATATAAATCTAAAAGGATAGGCTGTTAATGTGTAAACCTAAACCTAACCTGTAGTTTTTGCTCCTGTGGGCCCATATGAAGTACATCCAGAGGAAACTGTAGATAAGGGTCCAAAAATGTCCTCAGCTACGGTTGTTATGCAATGCAGTGCATTTTTAGTATATATTGCACCTTTTCACTTTAACAAGTACTGTTTAGGCATTCATTGATAGAGAGTAGAATATTACATGGCCAGTAGGTGGTGTTAGCTACCAGAGCTTCTCGGTAATGTAATGCTGGCTGTTGAAGAACAGGAAGTTGGGTTAATTTAAAAACTATTTTCTTTCTTACTGGAAATCACTTCAGGGAATTTTAAGAGTGAATACAGTTTGCATTGATGAAGTGTGCATGTGTGTTTGTGTGCGTGTGTGTGTGTGCGTGCTCTGCTTTTTTGCTACTATGTGAGCAGTGTCTGTGACTGTGTGTGTGTGTGTGTGTGTATGTGTGTAATGACTAAAAAAAACCCTTGAAGGCATCTCAGTTAAAACGTCACAAGACAAAAACGTATCCGTCTTTACAAATTCAGAAAATCGGTACGATTTACCGTCATGAATCTTTTAAAGTTCAGCTTTCCAACCCAAAAATAGCCACACGGTTAAGTTGTAACTCACGTTTTCTTAGAAACACTGAAACTGTGATCAGAGGCGGTTTTCTTGCAAGCAGACACCCCTGGTTTCAGGTGCAGCGTCAAGGATTGTTCAGGCTGCTTTGCACTTTGAGACTTGTGGAAAATTGGGAAAAAAAGAATCATCCTATTATTACGTTTGTTTACGGTCAAATGTAATAACTCATTATGGTTATTTTTCATTGCATTTTCACTGTGTAACAATTGATTGTTTGTATCTTCCTTTAAATGCCAATTTTTTTTTTTTGCAGTGCTCCTTTCAAAACACTGCAAATTGTCACGTTTATGAATAAGTGGATTGGGTGAAATTTTGGTGAGGTTTTTGGATCATCTAACATTTACCAGAGCAGAAAAGACCAACTGAATCCTACACATTTATGCCAGCGTGTGACTGAAATCTATAGTGGATGCATTTTGCATAAATTTACAAGCTGGGGTTCTGACTCTCACACACTCCTTGCATACTCACCTGTTTTACAGCATTAGGTTTACTTGTTATAACTTTGGATTAAAACTCAAAACACTGCATAACTATTTCATCCACACTAATAGTAGTTTGCTTGATTTTTAACTTTTGTGTAACATGGAAATGTGAGCCGTCATTTGTTCCTTACCTAACTGTAAAGTGCACCCTTTCCTGATGCTGCTGAGCTAATTTGAAGTCAGATATTTGTTTGGTCTTTTATAAGGCTGTGCCAACCTGTTTACCTCAGGACTGTGTATGTAAATGTTCATGCAGATAAAAGGACCATGCACCAAAAAAATGGATTGTTCTTCTTTTAAATGATTTTCATGCTTCTTCTGCAACTCTGAGGTTTTTGTTGGATTGTGTCCTGCAGCTCATAAAGTGCCAAAAGAGAGATTATCTGAAATCACTTTCCAGGACGTAAACTTAGACACATTTGTCAGTAAATTAAAAATCATAATTCCTAACGCAATCAACCAACCTATGTTTTTTTTTTTTTTTTTTTTTTTTTTTTTTTTTTTTTTTCCATTACTCTGCATTTTTATCATCAGTGGCAGTTATGGTTTCCCATGAGGTCATAGGTTAAAGGATGTGGTTGCCGTTTGCCTGTAGTAGGCTTTTGTGATTAATCATCCAGCGTAGTCTTTCTGATACTTTATTTCTCACTTCATAATGACGTATTTATCTGGTTAAAGACCTTTTGTGATTAGTTTTCCCTTTAAAAGTAGTTTAAAGTAATGTGTGCAGCTGTGTACACAGGTTGGAAATGCAATTTGATTGTAACACATTTCATATTAAGTACACACGTCTTTGTAATTTTATGGATTTTTAAAAAACATTTATTAGAAATATCGTGCAAGAGCAAAATAACTTCTTTATGTATATATTTTATGTACAGTTTGAGCTCAACACAAAAGACACGTAACATCAGTTGCCTCCAAAACCCACATGCATCACATCCGTGCCACAGCACTGCAGCGGGTTGTGAGCTTTTCAAAAAAAAGAATGCTGTCTGACTACCTTTGTCCGGGAAAAATGAGACAGACCTTGACACGTTTTTGTTCCAGAGGACTACGTGGCAAGAACGATGATGCCTGCGATGACATCAGTTATAATAGTGCTGCTGATGCTGTTTCACCCACAAAAAGCCCCACCATGTAAGGACTCTGGACAGCTTTTAGAATAAAGAGGTTGTAATTGTTGAGTGGTAGTCCTAGAGCAATCTAATTTACTGCAAGACAAATGACATGTTGGGGGGTTTTGTGTGTGTGTGTGTGTCACAAAATACAGTATACCACAAATCCATTTGATTACACAGCTTTTTAAAGTGCGTGTATAGTCATAGTAAAACGAAAGTACAAGGGTTTTACATATCAGGACAGGAATCTGGTCTTTATCAGACCTTACAGTTAGATAAATACAACCTCATATGAAGTGGAAAACATGACATATTATAGCATCCATCCATCTTTCCACTTTGCTTATCCAATTAAGGGTTGTAGGGGGCTGGAGCCTATCCCCTCTGGGGTGAGAGGTGGAGTACATCCTGGACCGGTCACCAGTCTGTCACACGGCTAACGCAGAGATAACCATTCACACTCACATTCACACTTTGGGCAATTTAGCTTCCCCAATTAACCTCACTCCACTAACTGCATGTTCTTGTACTGTGGGAGGAAGCAGAGTACCTGGAGAGAACCCACGCAGACCCAAGGAGAACATGCTGCCCTGATATAAGACACTTTGTCATTATTTATTTTATGACAGTTAAGCCATAATGCAGAAGCAGTGTGAAAAATTAAGTCAACCCAAACTGCTTTTATAGGAATTATGAGGGTAAGGAGCAGCCTGACCATAATGCATATCAGCACAAACAACTTGCACCAACTGTGAAATACGCTGGCAGAGAGGTAATGATCTGGGCTTGTTTTACAGCCACAGGACCCAGACACCGCGCAGTCACTGCTCTAGATTCTAGAGTCGATTGTGAGGCCTTCTGACCAGCAGCTGAAGCTTGGTCAATATTGATCACACAGCAAATCTACAACAGAATGGCTGAAAAAGAAAAGAATCAAGGTGTTGCTGTGGCCCAGTCAAAGCCCAGGCCTCAGCCTGACTGAAACACTGTGGCGGGAATCGAGCTCTACATAAATGAAACCGTGAAGCAAATTTTATATGAAAGAGTGGGTGAAAACTTCTCCACAGAGAAAACCATTACTTCATATGTCATGGGTACTATGTGTGTAATGCCATGTTCGCCTGTTCATTTCAGGTTGTACTTACTTAACTTTAAGAGCTGCTAAAGACTAGATAACTTTTTTTATTATGTCCTGATATGTAAAACATTTGAACTGACAGAGGGTGTAGGCGATACGCTCTCTTTCTTTTTATACAGGAAGACTGTGAGCTACTAGTAGTCCGGTTTGAGGACTTACTTTGAACCGGACAGCTAAAGATCCTTGCTGACCTAAATTCCGCTCTTTGTTTGGCAATGGTCTTTCAGCACTAAGCAAGCAAACAGCCTCCAGCTGCTATTCGCCATTTGGTCTGTGTTTGGGAAATAACAATAATTGGCTTTGGCAGACAGGAGGGACAACAATGGAAAAAAGAGTTTGTCTATTCGATGTCTATCTATACATCTTAAAAATACAGCTGGAGATCATTTTACCCCCACCTGCTGCTACCTGTTGCTCCTCAGCTGTCTCCCTTTGCAGCTATCTGCATTTGGATCATATCTGTACTGCTAGGAAGAGGAAAAAATTGATAAACAAGAATAATAATAAAAAAAAACAAAAAGAATAGCAATGCGTAGACTATGACTGTGAACAGTTATCCGCATTAAAATAAGACTAGGAGTTTTTCATGAATACACGACTTTATCCAGCTGCATGAAAACCATCAAACCAAGAAGATCACATTATTAAACCGGTTCTTCCACGACGTCAAACCTCACGTACGCGTTTACGTGGTATCCTGATTGTAATCGCTCGGTAAACTGTTGCATTCAAGTGCAAGTGGGAATCTGATCAGACACGATCTCGATCTGGTGGTAGAAATATCTCTGTATAACTTCGGATGATTCAGTACACGCATTTTCTTTTTTAATTAATGTCCTGGCTATCACGGCACTGAAGTTAGTTAAGATAATATCACAGGTGCATGTGGGAAATCTGTGATTTAAGATTTAAGACATCATGATGATTGAGGTTAGGTGTTAGGAATTGTTAGGAATTTTCCATCATTTATAAAAGGCTTTATCTGTCACACGTATTTAACCTATACATTTAACATGCTACCCTGACACGTTTTCATTTCTCCTGTTTGACTGGAGCATTTGAAACTAGAAGAATTTGAGCACCAGTGAAGGCAGCTTTTCCTTTTCAAGAAACTTGTGAAATTAGGTCCCAATATTTTTTGTAAAGTCATAAAAAAAAATCATATTGTTTCGTCCTTATGACAATACAGAAAGCGAAATATTATACTGTAGACCTCTTCAGCTTAACTAATGAAAACCTGACCAACATCTGTCCATAGAAAAGCTTTTAAGTTAAAATGTCAACTTACTTTTGCTTAGGTGGACCTTATTTTGGCTAAAATAAGGGAAACTAAATTGATTTCAAATGACTTTCAATAACAAACAATTAAAATGTGTTTGAAGTGAATTAGCAGCCTCTCACTGTCTGCATAATTATAGCTGTGATGAAAAAAGAAAACAAATATGTTCAAACTGTAAACGTGTCAAGGGGAGTCTGTATTTTTATCTGTAAGTTTCCGAGAAGGCCCTGAAGGCAGCACGTCAAACACATACCCTCCCCTGCCTGAAGCTCCGCTATCTTTAGCACTGTAAGGATTACGGTGCGCAGTGTGTGTGTGACTGCACTTCGGTGCGACGTGCTCGGCTTATCGCTGTGGGCTCATTCCGCTGAAGCTCTCCTGCATCAGAGAACAAAAACCTTAAAAAAGAAGAAGAAGAAGAAGTGATGGGGGAATGACAACAAACCCCGTCCCCGTCTGCGGTTCAACGTCCCCGAAAAGACCCAAGGATGCTGCTGTTCTCCAGCCCGCGGTGCGGGCGCAGGCGCCGGGCCTCGCTGCTGCTGCCGCTGCTCTCCGCGGTCCTCCTCTGTGTCATCCCCGTCAGCGCTAGACTGCCAGGTAAATCCCCAACGGGACACCTTAACATCCGTGGCCTGAGCTTGTTTTCAGCTGTAGCGCGACTGTCTGTCGCTCCAATTAACGCTACTAGGACGTGTCACCAAAGAGCTTTTGTTATTAACGCGGGGAAGAGATGTGCAACTATACAAGTGTGATTTGTTCACACTTTAATTGTTGGTTATGCTGTTCGTTTGGTTGTGTATGTGTCTTGCTGCTGAGGGCAGGTTAAGCAAGTGCGTGTGAATCTGAATGAGTGACAAGAGCACAATGGAAAGACAAAGGCCAAAAATTCAAATTTCCTTCCTTGTCAGGTTACTCAGGCTGTTCTGTGCTGACAATTGCACCTTTGTTAATGTCACAATAACCCTATAAAAATGTAAGACAAATGAAGTGATGTGTAAACCAAGTGGGCAATTTTTAAGTATGTGGGAACTACCAGGCTGCAGGTTTATATGTGAGTGTGTGTGTCTAACGTTTTACCACACAGAGATGGTTGCTGTTAATATGTGCAGGGGCGATAATCTGCTTCTCAGCCATTAATGCAGAAAACCCGTGGGAGAACCAACAGCTGGACTCATGTAATCTTTATCTTTTATTAAAGGCATGCACCCATCAACACACACGCACACACACACACTGTACTCAACATTGACTGCCTCTATTGACCCAAACCAGTATGAATTTGTTGATGTTAACGTATATTTTTTTAGATTTCTATAAGAATGAATGTGTAAAAAGAAGAAGCCTGTTTTCAATTTAAAGTGGTTGTTCAAGGCGTGTGCTCTGATGTGCTTTGTGACAAATGAAATGTGCGTAGTGTTTACATTTGAAGCTTGTATTGCATGTGCAGTGTGAATGGACTTTGACTGATGTACGACGGCTTGGAGAAATGAAAGCTTTAAACGAAACGCAGTACAAATTCTTGGTTTTCAGTCACAGCAGAAAGGGATGCTGTGATACATCGGTACTAACAGTAATCGTGATATTCATGGAATTTCTGGAATTACTGTCAATAATCCGGTGCCAATGGCTATTTGATTGACATCCCAAGAAAGATGGAGTTGCACCTTAATGATGACTGCCACAAAAAAGGACCAATAACAGTAGCCAGGTCGTTTCTGCCACTCTGTGGCTACTTCTGACTAATTTCTAGCAAAAGACTAATATTGTTACAAGTCAAGGCAGGATTTTGGGTATAAGAAAATGCAGCTGAGTACAATAGTAAGCTTTAGAACACTGTGTTGATTCATCTACGTGTAAATCATAGTTTACTTAACAGATTTGTAGCAGCCAGTGGTTCATTTGTGTTGCCCCGTGTCCTGTTAGGTCTCATTTCTTTGAAAAGTTTACTTTTTTAATGCCACTGAATTAATGGAATACACATTGCAATATACTGATTCACAACCCTGTATCATTATACGTGTCAACAGATTCTTGCCGATAACATGCCCCATAGTAATGTGAATATATCCAATTCTTTATATTCCTGGAATAGATGTAAATTATGTAAATAAGCAGTAAACCCTTGCAGACTTCACTGACATCCCCTGGGCTCCAAATGGTGTGAATTTGCTCTGTCTTGTGCTTTCTTGGTAGCCAAGGCCATTTGAGAAACTGCTGCTTGAATGTCAAAAATTTAAAGAAGTGGTCGCTGAATATGTTGAGACCAGTTCTTTACTTTCTTTAGGATGGAATATTTTTTTAAATTCTCAGGTTTCTATTGAGCTATAAGATTAGGTTTGGTTGCTCTTTCAGTGATAGTTTATACGCTTACTAGCTTCCTTTGAAAGACATGTGTTTGACATCAGAAAGCTAAAACTGTGAAGCAAAATGATCGATCTTGTGCATGAAGAGAAGACTTATGGAAAGCGGACTTAACATTTTGATGACGGGAAAGGCCAAAGCCGTCGCTGTTGTTGCGGAGAAATGCCCTTAAAAGACTGTAGACGTAGAGACTGGGAATGGGCCAATGTAATCAGGTGGTTTATTCAGGAGGCACTGACACATCATCATCGTGCTTAAGTAAGCCATAGAGCTTTCACTGAACACTGGGGTTTTTTGGGATGGAAGTAATCCAAAACCTCAATTTAACCAATTGATAACATAAAGTATGTCTATCCTGGTGGCCAAGATACAGAATAAATTTAGCACGCAGAGGTTGTTGTGTAATTCAGGCTCAGGGGTGTGTACTATATTAGCAACGCCAGGAGAGTCACCTTTTTTTCACTCGGAAAAAAAAAAAGCTTTGTTTGTCTAATTTTAGCATTTCATATTAGAAGCATCATCTCCACTTCTCAATATTCAGAATGAGTCTGGTCATTATTGTGCTGCCACACTTAAATGCCAAGTTTGTCATTCATTAAACCCACATAGAGTTGGAGTGATTAGTATTCAGAAAGCCTCTGCCTCCGGCTGTTTCTGCCACTAGGATTAGGATCTATATCTTCGCTGTCACACGCTCTCTCCTTTAAACACGCACAGCAACAATACTCATCTGTTGTCTTTTGATTTAAAAAAACAAAACACAGGACATTAAACAACTCTCACTGGGTTAATATACACTGTCTGGTATCACTGTATATTCTTACGAGGTAAAGCTTACATACAGTATGTTCACATGTGGATACGGTTAAAGACCTGCTATGTGTGTAAAGACATTTGTGTTTTCCTTTGGGTTTAAAAACAAAACTGCTCTTTTAGAAATGACATAACTGAAGCGGTCTATCACCTGTACAGTCAGTGACAAAGGTGAGGAGACTTCAGGAAACATGAGCTCTAAAAATCTGTCTGGAATGAGGAACAAGACAAGTGGATTAACTAGGGCTTGCAAGGGGATTTCTGTTCAAAACAGTAAGGAAATAGTAGTTATTTTAGGCTACTCAGCATCTGCTGAGCAAAATGACCAAATTCATACACCGATTTGCACAGATACCGTGATTTATTTATTTATTTTTTTTAATTGGAGTCTTTGTGAACTCCGTTTCTAGGACAAAATGCAGATCAGAGATAAGAAAGTGCTCGTTCTGGTTTCATATGAACCTGTTATGTGGTTTGTGCAGTCATTGGTGGGATTAGATGTCACTCGGTAGAGAAAGGGAAAATTATTGAAATTACCCAGTGGCCAGGAAACACTTACCAATAATATTGATCTATCTCACTGAGGTCTTTGTCTGGAAAAATAAGTGACCAGCCAAGGTTTTGCTGCAGTGGCTTCGTTAAAGCTCCCACTCCCCCTCGTATTTGAGAGCATTCTGTGGACTAGCAGACCTCTCTGGGAAATTAAAGGGCCAAAATTAACTTACAGAGCATCTAGAGCTATCTTTTCAAGAAATGAAGGACTCTGTGAGCTTGTTTCTTTCTTTTTCTCAACATCCATTCATTCACTCTGCTCCAGTTCACTCCAGTGCAGTCCAGTTTGGTCCTAACATATAAGCTAAAAGCCTTTTACTACAGTCAGATGAACTTTTGAACAACCAAGACACAGCTGCACGGAGCCCCAGATGTTACGTTGACAACTTTTACTCGAAAGCATCGTCTTAATATGTGGGAGCTGCAGTGACCTCAGTGCTTTTCCCCCTAACCAGATGATCATTTTCAGTGATATCTCGGTGTGACATCCCCCAAGTCGGCTGTGTATTTTGCTGACTCATTTCACTCGCGCTGTAAGCCACAATTAGCTAATTTCAAACACACACACGTTTGATCAAACCCGAGTCAGCAGAATTTTACCTTCAATTAGTTTCTCTGCACTTCTTTCTTTTGATTACTGCTGTGTAGTAAAAGGTGAAAATTCAGAGCAGCAAATTTTCTCTGTCAGCAGGTTTGCATTTGCGTGTAGCCACATCCTTAACAAGAATGTCTGCATCGGTTTAGCCGGATTTTAAATACAACTACTAGCAATACCTCATGCATGGGTTTCACTGCACTCTTTCCATTGTGCATATAGTTAGAAGGAATGCCTGCCTCTATTGATCGATATTATTTACACTAGTCAATCTAATATATAATATTTTATAAGACTCACTAAATGAATATCGTAGGATGGATATTTGAAATATTGTACTGCAACAACTGATCGTGCCAGGAGCAAACAAACAAGATGACCATGAAAAATAAAATGGGGAAAAAATGACAAAATAAAGGAGCTTTCATTTGCTGCCTACACACCGCCATCGTTTTAATCACTTTAACCTCTGTTCTGTTCGCTGTGGGATGTGCTGCTTTGCTTCACTCTAATGATAATGACATAGTAATTGTCTCCCGTGTAATGGGTTAGACTCATCATTGTCTAAAATGACAGAAGTTACTGGAACAGAAATATAAATGGCAGACTGGGAGTGATAAGCCAGACGAGGTATGGGCCTGATTGGCAGTAGTATAAAACAAAACCTTGTTCGACCTCATTTTTCCATCATGTAAAAAAAATAAATAAAAAAATGTAATTTGCCTTAAGCTACCAGTGTATTTCCTGCCTCTGTCTTTTGAGCACGACTGCCTGTGTTTCTGCATGTCTGTTTGAGCTTTTGCTCGCATGACTAGCAGGTGTAAATCATGCCCCATTTTCCACCCTAATTTTAGGTGAGTCATCGTACCAGATCACCGAGGGAAACTAACACCTACGCTACTGAAAATGATAATGTAGACAGTTTTCACAACCTCAGCCATTTATAGCCACTTACAGCTCTATATTTTGGCTTCAGGGTTTTTGGCATGGTTTTCTGAGAAATGAGGCAAGTGGGTTGGGGATTACAGAACAGTTAATATGTCCACTTTTTCTGTCTCTGCGATAAATAAAGCTGACTCTGAAACCTATACGTTGCTGCCACTTGTCAAACTGCCTCTATGTCCAATCAGAAGTGGTTTTAAATAATAGAATAGAATAGCTTTTATTGTCACTGTTACAAGAACAATGAAAGGCTGTTTGGCATTTCTCCATGTGTGTGAAGTACACAATAGCATAAGTATTTACACAATCACAGACAAATTTACAGTTATACATA